ACAAATTGTTTTGAAGGGTTGTTTTGAAGGTCAAACAGCAACTATAAACCCTCATCAAATCGATCAAGAAACGCCTCTACCTTCTCCTCTATCTTGATATTCGGTGAGACGATTCAACTGAAATCTGAATGGGGCCTTGGGCTATGAGATGATGTTTTCTTGATGTTTTGGTTTTATTTTTTTGGGACTTGTTGAATTTGGAATTGAAAAGTTAATTTGAATGTGTTTTTAGGATATCGACACTGAGTTTTGATTCTCCTTTCCCGATAGAATCATGCCGGATGTGCAATCCATGGTCGATGAATTCGTAATCAAGCTCAGGAAACGGTAGATGATTTCAGAAGAATCAAATTTTATTATGTGTAACCTTTTTTCTTGGCTTCAATTTTCCTTGTTCGGTTTTGTGTGTAATGGCAGTAAAATCGAGGGATCAAAGGCCACGGCGAAGCTGACGGCGGAATTGCTTCGCTCTTTTATATCTCAACAGCGGCTTCCCAGCAGTAACCAGGCTGGTGCTCTTACCGATGCCGTTAAGTCTGTTGGTGAGAAACTCATTGCTGCAAATCCTGTCGGTATGTTGACTATCCACCAAGTAGAAAACTTATGTGAAAAATTCCTATATTGTTGCTTTGTTTCATATTCCCCTCTTTATTTTGTAAAACCATACTCAGATACTCAAGTGATTGGTATATCGGAATGACATGCGTGCTACAATAGAGCTGTTTTTATCTTGATGTCTGTTTGAATTTGGTTGATTTCGGTTAATTGGACATCCACAGATGTGCAAAATGATGGTTGTTTAACATAATATCTAAGTAAAAGAAAAACATAATGCCTAATTAAAATATTATCTTAAGTGTATTGTCATAGTTCATTAGTGACAAGTTACTTTTGGTTATAGCAAATGTAAGACGGGCGCCTTACTCTGCCCAGGCACTAACTTTTGCAGACCCCAGCACAAAGACATCATAATCACATTTTCTTGCTGAATGTGTTTTGGATCACTGGGTGTTGCAATACACGACTGATCTGCTACAAGAACCTTACAAAGTTTTTTTTGCTCTACAAAAAATTCCTGTCTTAGAAGCTCATTCTTCGACACATAAAGAAACAATGTAGATTTTATCTTCTCCTATTTCTGTCCCTTGTAATTACTTAGAGTTGAAATTCCATTCTGTTTCCTTTTCTATCTTCATTTTCATAGCCTGATTGAGTTGCGTGACTTTGGTTCCAGAGTTGGCGGTTGGAAATGTTGTACGGCGTGTTCTGCATATCATACGTGAAGAAGACCTCTCTCTAGCTACTGCGGCAGTTGGTGGGTTAACTTTGGCAGGTGAAAGTGACGATGAAGGTGACACCGAACAGGATGATCATCCAGTTCTCTCAGCAACTGCTGTAGCTGCTGCTGCAAGAAACGCATTAAGGCCGCCGTCTTTGCAGACTCTCCTTGAAGATGTACCTCACTCTGCAGCGGCTCCTCATGCTTCTTCTTCTGGGGGTGATTCTGAAGGAAAAAGCAAATGTATGTTATTCAACTCTCACTTGATACAACTATCTACAACCAGTTGTAATGTACATGATAATTGTTTTTTAAAATGAAGTTCTCATGTAAGCGGCTGATGATGGAAACAGTCATGCTTGAGTTTAGATCAAATGAATCTCTATTC